CAAAACAAATAAAATACCTTTATTTGAATTTCATTAAGATGTATATATGTAGGTTTCATCAAAGACCTTTGCAGGAGACTTCATATGCCGTGATCTGTCTCTCATTACCTCAGTTGGTCTTTTAACCTCTCTAAAGCAAAAAGGGGATTTAGGGTCTAGTTTCATTAAGAGCCCACTATGTGCCAGGTGCTTTACAAGGGCTCACATTCAATCCTCATAGGTGATAAAAACAAGATTCAGATGGTAAGTAATTTGCCAAAGGACAGAGCTAGGAATGGGTTCTGTATGCCTGACTTTAAAACAAATGCTTTCCTTTATGCTGTGCTGTCTCTAGGCTGATGGAACAAATGAAGGGCTATCCTTGTCATTTCCGCTGGCCCATTGGCTCCTTAATTTCTCTGTTTCTCCATCCCTGGACACAAGCAGAAAGAGAAAAGCTACTAGCGCATCTCTATTTTAACAAAATCCTGACCATCTTTTCCTAATCAAAAGGTGATGTGTCAGTGTTTTGAGACACTTGCTTGCCTCATGCAAATGGAATCACTGGCTGTTTTTTACTAATTGACTTATACCATAAACTAATTAATAAACATCTTTAACTTTGATCAATTACAAACTGACTTCTAATACACAACTTTGAATTTTTTAGAGAAACCCTTATTGATTATTTTGCCCCTAAAATGTCACAGTCTCTTTGACCTCAGTTTCCTCTTCTATGAAATGATGGAGTTGGAGTAGATTATTTCTAAGTTTCCTTTTATCTTTAACGTTTGTGAATATAAATCAGTTATTTAGGACACATAGTGTATTTGCGTAGACATTATTAGAATGGACATTAGGTTCCCAGGCTAGCTCATAAAACCTCTTTGAACAAGTACCTGAAATATAGTCCAAATAGAACTATGTCTAATGGCAGTTTATAATATAATACAGACCTGAAGTGATTCTTTCTCCCTTCTCCACTCCATCCCCCAGCAGTCTGGGGGAGGACGAAGAGCTCTGTTGAAGAGATAGAACAAAACCTTCTGCACATAGCCTGCGTCTTACTGCAGTGAAGGCAGCATATCTGGTACTTTCCTGTCATCGTGTTTGGTTCTCCAATGGGAACAAATTAAGCCAAACCAGTGGGTCCTTTTACAGTTGTCCTATCAAATGTAATAAAAAATTCCTTGGCTAGAGTTTGAAAACTTTTTTTGATAACTGTTGGTGGTTGGTAATGGTGTCTTATAATGAAAGCAGAAATTATTGATCTAAGGTGTTTATAGAGATAACTTTGGAAAAATACCTTCTAGGCAGCTGAGATTCTACTACAACATGGAGCAAACCCTAATCAAAAGAATCAAAAACAGAAGACTGCTTTAGATGAGGCAGATGATGAAAAAATGAGAGAGCTGCTAAAATCCTATGGTGCTATTGAGGGTGATAATAGAGATGACAGTAACGCTGTAGTCACTGGTACGTATGTCAGTATTGCTTGCTGTTTCATACAGGTGTGTGCCTCTGCTTAGAAAAGTAAAATCTTCATACTTGTTATGTAAATTGTTTTATAACTGTGGATAGATACTTTATATGTTTATTAAACTCTTGAAAAGCACTATTTATTTTTAGAAAATAAATAATTTCCAAACTTGGTTTAATTTATAGATTGTATGATACTATTGGATTGGAGCTACATGTTGAAATGAAACCCATATCATTCATTAAATAAACATTAATCTTCCTAACATTAGGCCTGAGATAGAGATGTAACTGAAACTACGCACGTCGGTTTACTTGTAATGGCGATGAAAAATGATGACATTATCCTACTAAAGTCTTTGCATCTAGGTTTCATTACTTCAGAATTTGTAATGATTCATATAAAAGTTGGACTGATGCCAACTTTTAAAGAATTGCTATTCTAATGATAGAATATAAATGTGTTAAACAAATGTATTATACATGTGTGTAATATATATTGTAGTGAAAAGAATATTTCAGGGGAATGTACAGCCAGCGAAGTTTTATAAACTATTTTTAGCAGTAGTTTGCATTTAAGTAATATAGAGAATTATCTATGAGAAAAAGACATTTAGTGAACACTAATTTAGAGAACCCATTTGTTGAGTGCCTGCTATGCACTTGTCCATGAGGAGCTTCAAGTCTTGTGGGGAGACCAACCAGGAAAAAGGCAGCTAAACAGTTTATTAAGTGTTGAGGAGAAGGGATTGTTCTTCATTTTCCCTTATGCTTGAGCCTTGATATAAAGAAGAAGAAACCTAGGAACATAATCTGCCATCTCTGTATATAGGGGAGAATGTTGGGAAGAGAATCTCTGTCACACATTTCTCTCCCAGCCTACCACCATCCTTACTAACTGTTGATTTTCAGGGGAGGAATCATATTATTGATATGATTGGTTAGAGCTAAAGATAATCATTGTATCATATTTTACTAATAAGCTAGGTCACATATAGGTCAAGGTCAAGACTGATACAAGTTTCCTCTTTTCATTACCTGCTACTATATGGTAAGTCCATAGGGTCAGGGCCTTTCTTAGAGCTCCAGTCATGTCTCTGTCCCTCTCCACAGCAATATCTGAAGGTTCAGATCCCATGATCCCAGCTTAAGAGAAGCCTTGCATTTGGAGTTATTGGGCACTCTGATATAAAGTTCTGTATCTATTCCCATTTGTCTGTTGTCTCTTGTGTACATGTTTCTGTGGACAGGAACCCCAAAGGGATGAGGGGTATAGGATACAATAGTTATATAGAGAAACAGAATCCAGAACGGGAGGAGGGTGAGAGAGAAATTCACAGAGACAATGAATCATAGTGATAGTGACGAAGAGCATGGGCTTTTAAGTCAGATCTGGTTTCAATACTAACTGTGTGATATTTAGGCAACTTCCTGAATCCCTTTAAGCTTCATTCACTTTTCTCTTCTGTAAAATGGGTATAATGAACTATCTATCTCACCAGTTTCATATGACAATAAAATGATTTAAGGAAAGAGTTTTATTTCTAGCATGTGATAAGTACTCAGTAAATGTTAGCTGTAATTAGTCAATTGATAATAATAAATACCAAGGTGCTGATCAACATTAAGATACTGTAATAATTGGAGACTTAATTTATCCTTCCCATACCTGTCACTATTACAGTTGATAAAATGAAGCTAAATTTTTGCTCATTCTTATTTTCTAATTTTATTTTAAGTAGAAGTTTCTACTGTCCAGTCCAAAAGACAGAGTTTTTGTGATGACCGCAAAACTGAGCCACCTTCTCTTTCATACCAAGAAAACACAAGAGAAAGCCTCACTTTGGTGAGTCAAGTTGAAATCCTTTGTTCTTCAGCCTAGAAAATGCCATTCTTTGGGCCAGCCAGCCTTTGGCTATTGGTAATACTCTTTCCATTTTAAGGTCGCACGGGTTGAAAATGTTTTTTTGTCATAAGAAAATATAGCATAACTGAATAGAATAAGCCAAGAAGATACATTATATGGTTAACTCTTGATTATCTGCATTGATTAAGAATTAAAAATAGCAGTTGTCTTTTACAATCAGGTTTGGTTGGTTGGCTACTTCTTATCTCACAGACACCGGCACCATCACAGTGTGTCTTCACTCACCCACTTCCTAAAAGTATCTAAGATACATATTAGGTAGAAAAGACCCTGAAACCCAGACAGAGAAGAGGAAATCTGGTTTATCTAATCTGGATCTCACATGATTTATGGTGATAGTGTTTGCTTTATGAGAAACTCCTCATGTACAGGTATATTTTTGCAAAAATAGCATAGTAGCTCAGTAAAATACATATTAATTGATACGATGTATATCCTTAGTTTGACAAAAACACAAAGTGGACTGGACTCTAAACTTCTTAAGCAAAGTAGCATCCTCAATGAAATATTATTTTGAATAAGACTGTATGTTGATTAGATTTCTCTTACCTACTTTCCGTTAGTGTGGAGAGGGAAAATGTCATTCATTGAACCTAAATTATGATTAATCACTTAATTTATACCTTAAATATTTTAGGTGGTATTCAAGCTAAATTGTATTTGCCTCAGCACTTTGAAAATATTTTGCATCATTTCCTGGTATATGTTGTAATGGATGAAAAGTCAACTGTCAATCTGTCATTTCCTTGTAGATAATCTGTCATTTACCCTTGCAGCATGTAAGATTTTTCTCTGAGTCTTTTATGTTCTACAGTTTTACTAGGTTGTATGTAAATGTGGGTGTGTTTTTATTAATTATACTCTGGACTACTCAAGCTCCTTTAATCTGAAGAAGCATTTCTCACTTGTATTCTGGTAACTCTCAGCCCTTATATCTTTGAATATTGCCTCTCCTCCATTCTCAGTCTTCTCCTTTTTCGGAACTCCTATTTAGGTATCTGTTAGACCCGTCTCCCTGTCTCCTAATGTACTTTTCATATTCTCCATCTCTTTAACTCTCTGTATTATATTCTGGGTGATTTCCTTTGACCTCTCTTTTAATTCATTATTTCTCCCCTCAGATATTTCTAATTTATTTAACCTATACATTGAGTCTTTAATTTTAATGACTATGTATTTTATTTCTGGAAATTCTGTTTCCTTTTCAAATTTTTGTTTAAAAAACAAAGCAAAAAGACTTTTCTGTTCTTGCCTTACAGTATTGATAGCATTAAAAAATATATATTTCCAAACATTTTTAAAGGCATTTTAAACTCTCCTCCTGACTTTTTCATGATAACATAATTCTTCATGTAGTTTATAATTTTTTTATTATAAGCTCATTTAAAGATGGTTGTTTACTCTGGGAATTTTGATGTGCCTAGGCTTTGTGTTCAACATTTGCCTCTACTAGGACCCTACAGGTTTGTTTCACGACAGTTTTTATGCTAATTTCTGCATTTGGGTACCTGAACCACATATTGTATAAATTTATTTATACAAAAAAAAATTTATAAAAAAACTCATATATACATTTGTGACAAAGGCTTGGGTCTCCACTTTTCAACCCAAAGCCCTGAGTGGGTGACAAATAGAGTTTTTTTTATCGTTATTTAACCTAGAGCACCTCCTCTAGGCCACTAGCTTTATGCAGGGACTCTATTCTAACACCCTCCTCACGTGGGCTGAGGCCTTATCTCCTGTTCTTGTGTGGACATTAAAAACCTAGCCCTCAATATCTGTGTTTGTTCCAGATCCCCCATGCGCCACTGCTAGCTTCGTTTCTGGAACCAGGGAATTTCCCTTCCTTTTTCCATTCATAGCTCTGTGTGTGTGTGTGTGTGTGTGTGTGTGTGTGTGTGTGTGTGTGTGTGTGTGTGTGTGTGTGTTTAAAGCTTATTTTGTCCAATGTTTCCATGTGTTTGGAGTAGACTGGGGTCCTTCTATCTCAGCTCAGCCCACCATATTGATCATACGTATCTTTAAAGTATATTTTCATGTAAAGATTAGAACATTATGTAAAAACTGTTTTCTTATTAACGATATAGGTTATTTGCTTCAGGAATAATGTACATTAGTTTACATGCCAGGCCTCAGAAAAAATGTAATGGAGATATAGGCGTCTAAAGAAAACCAACTTTACAAAAAAGAAAAACTCAAAAGAAATATGAGGACTTTAAAGTCATTAAGGGTTTGTCTTTTGTAAATGTAAAATTGTTTTTGAATATTGGAAATTTCAAACTAAACTGGGGTGAGGGGTGACTCTTGCCACATACAAAGAAAGTGATTTTAGTTTGGTGTTACCTTCAAACCACAGCATGTAGGCAGCCTCCTTCTCTGTCCCTATATACAATAAGTACAGAAGTAATAATAATAATAATAATTGACATTCACTGAGTACTTACCGGATGGCAAGCACTTTATATTAATTTATGCAGTCCTCATAATAACCCTTCTAGGTAAGTTCTGTTATTATCAGTACCTTTCTCATTACAATTGAGGAAGTTAGAGACATTAGGTAACTTAATCCAAAATTACGTTTCTATTAAGTAGCAATGCCAGTTAAACTCCAGGCATCTGGCTCTAGATCCTGTACTCCTCACCACTGTGCTACATTGTACAACATTGTAAAAGAGGTATCGGAGACCAAGACGATCCTGCCATAGTAAAAATAACAAGTCTGGAATAAAATGATAGTGAAGTTTTACAGTACAGAATATAAACTGTCTAAAGCTGCTCATTCTAAAGACATGTCTTAGGTTAGGATTTTTAAAAAGATAAATAAGCAATAATGAAGGAATAAGAAGGGGAGTCTTAGAGGGAAGATTATGTTGGACCCTCCATGGTGGACTGTGGAGCTAGTGTGAAGTGAAGAGTTATGGCTCATGGTGGCTGGGAGTAGGCACTTCCACAATATAAGGCAAAACAGTAAATAAAGTCAGCATCAGAAATTGTTTTCTTTATCCTAATCTGTAGGTAGAGGCTTAGCCTGGGCACAAATTCAGACCTTTAGTTTGTTTTCATAACCATAGCCATTCAATGTAAAAAGAGATAAATCTCGGGTTTTTTGCATATTTATATTTTATAGTTTCATTTTGATTCATTTCATAAATGACAGCAGTGAGATTGCTCTTCCACATAATTGGATGGTTTCATTATGTACATTTACCATATCCCTTGTGGGCACCAAAGTAAATTTCAGAGCAACATATTTCAGAAGGTTTTGAGGACCTACACGTTTTAAAAATGAATATGTATCAAAAGTATATTAAAGGACAGATAATATGAGTCAATCCATCAGTTTTCATCTATTGAATAACAACTGTATATCCAACAGTGTGGAAACCATACACAAATATAAAAACCATGCTCCTGCCTACAAGATCTCATGATCTTGATGAAGAAATATAATGTATAAGACATACATATTAATACTAAATTCTGTAGCACTGAAATTCTTAAGTAATTCTGAGAAAGGAGAAATCAGTATGAATTAGTCAGAGGTTTCATGTATGAGATGGGTTTTATATAATAGCAAGCAGTTTTTATTAGCATGCTCAATATTTATTGAACTCTTACTTTGGCTGGCACTGTCCTAAGCATTATGTGTGTTACTCACTTCTGGCAAGGAGAGAATAAGGAACTGGCTGGAGTCACCCGCTAGGAAGAGATGGAGCCAGAATTCACACCCAGGCAATCTGATTTGAGAGTTCACTCTGTGATTGCATGTCTCATAAGAAAGAGAGGGATCTGGGCAAAGTAAATTGAAGGCATTCCAGGCAGGAAGATTAGTACTGACGGGTATAAAGATGTGGTCTTAAATCCCTTTTGTGAGTTTTTGAGTAGTGGTTTGTATTTCTAATATTATGTGTGAGATTTTAATAGTGGACAATGATAGTCATAAAGCCTTAAAGCGAACGTGTTGCATATATGTTATCTTTAAATATTATGTGCTGAGTTTTTTTCTTCTATACTTATAATTATAACAGAATTCAATGAGAAATTATGATTCTTTGTATGGTTGCTACTCTTATATTTCCCAAGAATAGATCTGCTACATAAATCAAGATATACTTAAGTTTACTTTTTTCCCCCAAATATGCAACATTTATGCAATTAAGGTTAAACAAAGCATGGATGGGTATATTTTTAATATAATGCATATCAGAGAGAAACATCTACCTTCTGATAATGAACTTTTTAGTATTGTTATTTGATAGCATCAGACCATCAGTGCCACTCTACAAGATATAGAAGAAAAACAAGAAAATTTATTGGAGTTTGAAATAAGAACCCCTGAAGATGCAGGTAAATATGGGCTCATACTCAAGTTTCGTTATTTTAGGTACCCAAGGTTACTGCTACCTCATCGTCTTAAGGTGCCTGTTTATTTTAAAACTCACAGTGGCTGAAAAATCTTTTTTTTTTTATGAGAGTAAAGTGCCAGGAGTGATCATTATTAGCCAGTGATGCAAACCAGTAGTTGATATAATTGCTGACTCAAAGTACAGCATGAGTAATTTGAGAGAGACTCAGAATCATGATCTGAGAGAAGCCACTACTGGTGATATGTTTAGATGAAGATATGACAAAAAGCATAAGGTAGTGATTAGAGAAAAGATTATTTCACTTCTTGTCTCCTCAGCTTCACCCAGCTACGGTAGCCCTTAAGAACAGATTAGAAAAGGACTATGTAGTGGTGACAGGACTACAGCAAACCCTCATACCTTCCAAATGAGCAGATATGTCTGACTGAATAGGTGTCTTCCTGGTTACGAAACACTAGTGATTCAAAATAGTAAATTAACCCAATCTCTGACCTAATAACCTTTATTTCTCAAAACTTCAGTGAATATTTGCAGTCCTTCGATAGCTCACAGCTATGTTTTCTTGAGAGCTATCTCTCAACTGACTCTTTATTTTATTACCATGTTTCTAGAACAATACATCGAAAAGATGTTAGCGATAAAAGAAGTTATGGATAATGTGCTTGCCAAACAGAAGGCAGAAAGGGATGATCTGGCTGCAAAATACAGGTGAGTGAAAAAAATAGTACTTTAGAGTTTTCAGAATTTATTTATTTTTAGCTACAATAGTAAGGTCTAGAATTTCTTAAGAATACAAATGTTGGGCTGGCC